CTCACTGAAAGCCACAGAGGGGCTGGACGACCCAGGCTAAATGGCACCTGCCCACTTAAGTATCATGGAGGTCATGCATGTGGAAACCTTGTTGAACAATTTATTGCTACTGCTTGCCATTTAAACAGCATTAGAGGTAAGAAGGACTCATGAAAGACCATCTCAAAGAACTTGGATTTCATTCTCTTTGTACTTAGTCATGATGCTTCTTCCTCATCCTCCCACCTTCTCTTTCTTCCATCTGTAGCTGTCTAGATCCACCCTATCCTTCCCTGTGCAGTGGCCCCTTAGCTTCCCTTTCAGACTCCACGCTTGCCTTCTCTCAGTGATGTTCTCTACACATAGCATGATATGGATTATTATCCACACCAGGACTTTTTTAAAGGAGGACACAAATAATTTCATCTTTCTCTTTCCATAATTTAATGAATAATGCAGAATATTTCAAACAGGCAGTTGGATGGAGCAGTATTAAGCATTAACCTTGTTAATTTATTGGATAAGCATTATTCAGTTAATATCCATTTAAACTGCATTTGAAAACCATTGTGTGCCTAATGCTGTGAAGAGCCCCAGGGCTTTGCTGGGTATTCAGACCATGTTTGTTGAATAGTTAAATGAAGGAATGGACTTTATTTCTCCTTGAAAATGTAGAGCTGTTAAGTATATGTAGAAAGATGTGTGAAGTTTCGACTATTTCAAAATAATGTAGGAAATTTGGAGTTTAGGCTCTGACAAAGACAAGTGGGACCTCTGTCCTGCTATGCTTGTGGTAATCTGAAACAATGAGAAAGGATGAGAGAAGTGGCAGCTGGCCCCTAAGGTTTCTCCTGTCATGTCCAGCAGGCAGAGAAGAAAGGAAACAGCAGAATGGATAGAAGATTATTAAAAATCTGTCATCCTGTCAGTCTGGGGATGGCAAATCTGCCTGGACCACTACTGCCACCTCTTCCCTGCCTGGCTTCAAACCTGCAGCTTGGGAGAGGATGCGTCCTTTGGTGGGAGCACAGGAGACAATGAAGAACCACTCTCAGAGGTTCAACTGAGGCAGTGCAGTGAAGAGATGCTCCCAGTGGAAAGGCTTCTGTGTCGTGGGTAGAGTGTGGATTAGTGAGAGCCAGGATGAGAGCATCATGGAATAGTACTTGACCCGCACTCCTGCTGCTCTTGATGTTGGCAGGTGCCAGCAGGAGCAGAGCTAGAGTTAACTCAGAAAAGAGAAGGAACCTGAAGCATTTCATGGGGATTTTGAGCTGGGACAGACATGGTCATTCATGCAGACCTCCTCCAGGGATGTCACTAAAAAAGTCTTATCAAATGTGAGCACAAAGCCTTTAATGTTAAATTTTGCCCATTGAAAACTCTTTCACTACTTGGTATTCATCCTTTTTTAAATCTGAGGCAATTTTGCTTGTTGTTTATGTGACATGGTATGGTCACAGTCAACTTAATCATGCTGGCACAAGTGCATCACCAGTACCCCCTACCTTTTCTAGGTGTTTTCTGTGAGTGCTTTTGTAGTTTTGTGACATGTAGTTATCTGTGATCTGCATGTATACTTTACCTCTTAAATGACAAATGAGTTGGTTTGTTTCTATTTCTAAGCACTCATTAATGACTCTAAGAAGAGGGAGTGAAGCAATTTTGGATTCTGAAGTTCTTGGTACCTACATATAATGTGACCCCTGCAGGCTAGGTAATTAACCTGAAGTAGCGGCCTTCTTTCTGGACTCTTACTTCAGATAAAAGATAGAGCACTGTGTCCCTTGGAAGGGCAGAGGCAGGGACACCTGGTTGTGTATGTGTTTCATTCTGTCACTATATGTGAATGCTTGTTTCTGAATGATTAGAACCATAGCCAGACAGTATTCTAAAATTAAAATTTATTAGGGTATATCTATAAATTATTTTAAGCAAGTTGTTAATCTGCTCCAACTATGTATTGCTATTCCCAACATGGATGATGTCTGTGATGGGACCCCAGTGGCCAATGATTAGAAGACACAAAAACCAAAGTCTCGACTGTAGAAATAGTGAATGCAATTAAGAAAGGGCCCTTCTGCTCCTGCTGCTGCTCACTGCTTTCTTTATGACCTTACAGAAGCTTCTTGCCATCTCACTTTCCTATGTATAAAGTGGAATTCTGGTAAAGGCATCACTGTTTTTGCAAAGTGAGCATAGCTTATAAGCGCATCATACAAGTTTGCTATTGGCAGTGCTGTGAGATTGCGGATATGGGATTCTAAAACTGAGAGCTCAGAGATTATAAGGGCAAACAGCAAAGGAAAAAGCACCATAGCAGGGCTTATTCTAGCTCAGAGGTTAAGGGGTGTTAGTCTTTGGATTAGGTGAACCTGGGGGAGAGGGCAGAGCACTATGGAGGGTGGAATGTGAGGCAAAGACTGCTGGCTTCATGGTGGAAAGCTGAGAGACTGAAAGGGGGCCTTTCGTGGTCCACCTCCTCTGAAAGGCCCATCTCCTGTATTTGATCACCTCTCAATAATATCTTCATGTGTTGAATCCATCAAAGGAACGGGCCAGAGCGTCTAGGAGGACCAAGCTCAGAGTAATTTGGTTTATATCCAGTTAATTTGCTTTTAGGTTGAAACATAGAGGTTTTCTTCATGGAGATGTAGTGGTACAGGACTCTCTTTTAAAAATGAGCACATACTTAAGTAAAAGGGGCATAGGATTTAAATTTCTGGAATTAGATACCTGTCACTGTGACCTTAATATCTTAATCTCATACTTGAAGCTCTAAGATTGACCGCAGACATTTTTGCACATTATAGCGAGGTCTGAATGTAAGAATACCGCCCATAAGACAGTCTGGAGCTTCTTCTCTCACAAAGGGCTTGACATGGTGTGGTGAAAGGGAGGTGTGAGAGAAGATAATGTGCTCAGGCCCACCTCTCCCCATTTCAGGGCGGAGTCAGTATTCTTTGAAGTGTGAAACATTAGGTAATATGTGTGTCCAGGGCTCACAGTAAAGTTTTCGAGCTGCTGCTTTTTTGATTTTGCATTCCTTTTGTTATTGTCACTGTGATATATCTTAGGTTATGGGCAGAAGAACACACACACATACATGTACACACCTTGTTTCAAATCAAAAGAGAAGCATTTCACAGTTCTAAGAAAAAAAATGGGAAAACAAATCACATTATCGACCTGTGTTACCAGTGCCCCCAGTCTTGGGCTGTCAAGTGGATCTGAGTGACTGCTGTACCATAAAAATATTTTATACACAGTTAGTCTTGTCTGTTTCTAAAAGGGAAGACTTTTTCCAACTTTGTAGTAAGTATATTTTAATGTAGGGTTGAGAGCAACCCTACATTAAATAGTGTACAAGAGAGCATCTGTACACTATTTCCTTTAATGACTTAGGAGGAGGAGGCTGGTCAGTCATTCTTTGGAGTCACCTCTCCTGTGATTGCCTTCTGAATGCAAGAAAAAAACAAAAATAAACACCTGCAAGGAATGCAGGGTCAGATTTCAAAATGAAGAAATCAATGGATGTGTCTCCTGCCCCCAGTCCTCACAATCCTTAATCCACCGTAGAACCTGGAAAACAGCTGACTGTTTCAACTGTGGTGTCTGTCATTAATAACGCTTTCCTCTGCTGAAGCCAGACTCAGGGCCCATGTTTCTCACAGAACTAGTTAAGTCCAGTAGTCTACATTGACCAAGTCAGGACAGTGACCCTAGAGGAGCCTCAAGGGTGTTTCCTGGCAATCCTCAGCTGTTGACTCTGACAACAGTATTGTGCTGAGATCCCCATCTCTGCTGCAGAAGTGGGGGACTGGTTTATTTCCTGTGTTCTCCATGCTCAGGAGACTATATTTCATATTTCCACTTTGTAAGCATCTGAGATTTGTCATAGAACCTTCAGAGTGTGTTTATGTAATAAGAATACTCTAGGCTGAAAAGGATTTTTCACTTTTTCCCAGAGTTAAAAGCTCTCTTGGGGAAGCAGGAGGAGAAGTGAGGGGATAGGGGGTTCCTGGGTGGGTGGGGGATGGGGTAAGGGGACAACATATGAAACGTAAAAAAAAAATCCAATAAAAAAAACACCTCTCTTGGGGCTGGGGATGCAGCTCACTTTGTAGAGTTGCCTAGCATGCAAGATGCCCTGTGTTCGGTCCCCAGCACCATGTCCCCAGGTGTAGTGGCACTTCCTGAGTGCACTGGAGAGGTAGAGGCTGGAGCTCACGATGGCTTCCCAGCCTGGAGGTAAGTTTTTGTTGTCTTTCTTGTTTTGGAGAAGAGTGCATGTGTGTGTGTGTGTGTGTGTGTGTGTGTGTGTGTGTGTGTGTACATTTACATACTTTGTTTTGGCTTTGTTTTTTTTTAATTTATTTACTTAAAAGCACGCACTAGCTGCCCTTCCAGAGGTCCTGAGTTCAATTTCCAGCACCCATATGGTGGCTCATGACCATCTATAAGGCTTTGTTGATTTTAATAGGTGTATTCTGAAGCTACGGGGAAGACTAGTGTCAATGAAAAACAAATATATCACTCCTTGAAATGACTAGAACATATCTCACTTCTTTTCTGAGTGCATTTTCATTTGTATTTTGTAGCAAGTGTGTTTGTGGACATTAACATCATGACCAACATTATGTCAAAGCCAGAGACTTCTGTGGTCTCTTAAGTTCTAGTGGAGAGGGAAATGACCCATTGGGAAGGATGGAACACTGGTGTGAGCTGAGGCAGTGGTGAGTGGTAGTGGTCCATTGTGCAACACAGAGCTTTCCTATGCACACTTCAGAGAAATATATATGGATGCTCTGTGCCACATGAAAGTTAGATTCCAGGTGTTTTCCTGGGACTCACCTGCACAGAGTTTCTTTCACAAGCAGCCTTGTCCCAAGCAGACAGTATGGATACACAAGGGCCATGGAAGTAAGGCAAGCAATGCTAATTTCACTAGACCTGGGATTTGCTATAAGATCTGGTGCAAACTCTCAAAGCCTGACCACTGTACTGCTCTTTCCTTCCAGATGTTGCACAACAAGCATGTGATGGTCCGTGTGGGAGGAGGCTGGGAGACCTTCGCAGGCTATCTGCTCAAGCATGACCCCTGCCGCATGCTGCAGATCTCTCGTGTGGACGGCAAGACATCCCCTGTGCAGAGCAAATCCCCAACCTTGAAGGACATGAACCCAGATAATTACCTGGTGGTCTCTGCCACCTACAAGGCTAAGAAGGAGATTAAATGAAACTGATCTCTGAAAGAGGACTCATGCAATGGCCTGTGTCCATTCTACAGTATAGTCAGTGTAGTTCACATGCTCTGAAAAACCACACAGTATCAGGCAGGAAAATACTCACAAGGTAGCACTATTTATTTTTAATGCATCTGTAGAACTTTGCCTATGGGGAAAAATTCTAAACGTAATGAGATCACACAAATTGTAAACAAATCACTATTATTCTCAATATGTGAACATAGTATTTAGAACAAACTTTGTTAGGAAGTAAGTTCTAGGTATAGCCGTTGAAGGTGATCATGACTAGACTATATTTACATATGTGGGTAGATCAACAGAAAGTGCCTGCTGTATGTCTGTCTATGAGCTAAAGCACCCCAGAAACTTTTATAATGGTGGGATTTTATAACTATTTTTTACAAATTGACAATGTGATAATGTGCTACTAAAATTGTCAGACAACACTATATACTGCAGAGTTTTCTCAGCCATAATACTTAACTGGAAAGGCCACTTCAGAGATGTTTCCATTGACTTGGAAAGATTGCCTTAAAGTTCATCTCTGATCCCTGACCAAACCAACCTCTGGGGTACTTTTGGATGTTGCCTGTGCAGCCCCTTAGGAATAGCAGGTACCTTTCACACACACAGAAGCTGTGTTTAGGATAATCACTTAGTGAAATACATATGCCTAAGCTAGCAGACATTTATATTTTGATGTGTGGACTGCACAGTCAAATGTTCATCAACTTTGTGATTTTGTTTATTTCAAGCATTTTCTTATTAAAATATATATCTTTAGTTAGTCCTATTCTGCCATGCTCTCTCATGAAGTAAATTCATGTAGTAAATGATGTTACAGACATGTATATCCAGGGCAGGGCTGTTTTGTATCAATGAACAGCAAGATGTTGTCCACACTGATTTAAAAATTAAAAACAGAAAGTTAAAAAAACCCCTACATATTATCTGCCTCTGTATCAGTGCTTCACTCTTAAATAAAGTTAATCTTCAAAACTACTAATTTGCCAGCAATATGAGGAGTGTCACGTTATGGCTGTGTAGAGTATCTTCATGTGGGGAAGGAGAATGTAGGTGGTGCTTATTCACAGTAGCAAAGGATGTTGACATTTTTTTAAAATGGTGGAGTTGACTTATTATTTCACTATTTTCAAATAAGAAAAATTCATCTTCCTTGCTGCAAAACCTCAGAGAGAAAGCATCTGTATGTCACATGACCGATTATTCAAACATCCAACTTATTCATGGGGAACATTTTAGCAAGTATGTTGTAAGTTAGTGGTACTGGAAAGGAGTTGGGAGTCTAGGAAAGCATGTCAGTGAGAAACTAAAATAGAGTCTCCGGCTTTTGTGCCAGGTAAGATGATCTTGGCATAATAAATAACTCTACTGGCTTTTGAAACATAGTACATTTTAGTAGTTCAACCCTTATCAATTAAAATCAACATTAAAATTTGCATTTTTATTGACACTCTTTCCAACTTTCCCATGTCTAAATTTTTCTTTCAATAGAGAATTTTAGTTATAAATGTATGGCTTAGCAAAAAAAAAAAAAAGTCATTAGAGTATGAGTTATCCTTTGGCAATTCTATTGTCAGAAGTTCAGTATGGTTTTGCTAAGATAAAGTCAAAGTGCCCTCAAAGCTGTGTCTTTCTGCAGACTTCAGGAAAGAATCCATTTCTTGCCTTTTTGACCTTCCAGAGGCAATTGCAATCCTTGGCTCATGGCAGCAACATGGCTTGACATTGTTTAGACCTATCTCTTCATAATTTTTCCTTTGGCTAGAGGTTGGAAAAGTCCTCAGGTTTAAGACTCTGTGTGATTAGATTAGCTCTGCCTAGGTTAACCTTTTAAAATGCCTTAGTAAGGCAAAATAACTTAAGAGTGGTAAGGTTAGGACCTGGAAGATTATTAGACTTATATGATACCCACTGTGATCTTTCAAGTGTGTCTAAGAATGTGTTCAAAACTGACAGTGGGGACTTGCTGCTAGCTGATCCATACCAATAGGGATAAAGAAAAATAGGACTGCACCCTGAAGGACATGATCAAATACAAATGGCTCTTACTGAACTGTGAAGACTTACGAGTCTAGCATCAGTTTCTCAGCTAGGGTAACATGCAAGAAAAGATGATAGGGCAGAGATAGAGGATTAAGGATCCACCTAGTCTTATAACCCATATGGAGAACAGCATCCAAATAAACAAGTAGGGACAAGGCCATTGCCAGGGGACATGCTGAAGTATGGAGGGCAGCATACCTGTACAGTACCCGCATAGATGTCACTACAAGTAATACGTTCAGATGTTCATTGTAGCATTCATAAATTTACAGTGGGAATTCTTTGATATCTTCATTAGGTATTGCTTTGTGGTTAGCCAAAACAATAGATACAGGATAGTCATGCAGAAACTTCGTTCAAATGAAGGAACATCATAAAAAATATTCTCCAAGTTGCAATGCTTACTTCAGAAGTTGCTGGACAATGTATTGCTGAGAAGAAAATTTCTCTTTCTTCCCTTAAAATAATGGATAAGTCAAAGGGTCAAAAGCAGTACCATGAAAGCAGGCAGTGCTCTTCAGGATGGAATGCAAGGAGAACACAGATAAAGGACTTCATGTCTATTTAGGTTTTAACCTATGTTAGTCATGTTCTGATGCAGTGTCTGCATAAACCAAACAGGAACAACAGTGCAATAAAAAGCCACATTGGAGAAGAACTGAGACTTCAGGTTGTGACAACTTCTGCAACAACAAATACAAAATGACTTCAAAGGCCTGCTATGCACACTAGTGGCTTTTATAGGTAGGTTTGTGTTAGTGGTGTTGTCTTTTCTGTTTGATGATTCGTTTTAGAAAATTAATACATAGGGCCTTATTATCATATCTGAGTCAGGTTACAGTGTGTGAGTGTGTGTGTGTGTGTGGTGTGTGTGTGTGTGTGTGTGTGTGTGTAATGTCTGAAGGAATTTGAGGAAAGAAGTTAAGGAAATAGATGGTGATTAAGAAAGAGACTTGCGACTGGTAACTGGTTAGCATTCTGAGAATAACAGACCATAGAATTCTGAGTTCTAAATAGGATGTCCCTCACACCCCACCCTCTAAGGCTCATAGGTCACCATTAAAGAGGGGCAGAGCAATTGTAAGAGTAGAGCAGGGAAGTTGTGCATATGAACTTAAAGCTGCTGTGACATTATCAATGAGACCTGTGCAAACTCAAGCAAGACAGAATCAAAGCAAGGTGAGCCATGAGCATGAAGTCCCACCCCCAGATAATGGCATTTGATAGGTGCTGGGAGAAGAAGAGTCACTTTTAAGAGTGGCTTTTGGTAGGTCTCCCACCCTCCAGGGCAGGCCCCACAACCAAGAGTACCTGGGTATCACAAATTGGACTCTATGGTTAATTTTAAAAAGGAAACAAAAATGAGGACATGAGGTTGAGTGGATAAGGAGGTGGAGGTGGATCTGGGGAGATGTATTTAATAAAAATACATTGTGGAATTCTCAAGGAATTACTAAAAATGTTTTTTTTAAAGGCATGTCCTTTTTCTCTCAAAACAAGAGGCAGGCACATGCACCTAACTCTTGCCAATCTGTTAAACTATATACTTTATTCAAAACTGACAAGGTATGCTTTTCATCTTCCAAGGACACAGTATAGTTCTTAACAGTGTAAAAAAGCCAAATTTTTGGATAAACATAAATTCAAATTTTATGTCAAATTTTCATGGTTCTGGGGATGATGCACAGAGCCTTTCTACAGTGCTTTATTTTTTTATCTAAAAGCAAAAGTAATAACAACATAATAACATTACTTCTTTACAGGATGAGATAAGAAACATGCCTCCTCCAGGTAGTTATTAGTTAACTTTCCATTATTAACCCCAGAGACATGGACGTGTCCCTAACTACGAAGGCAACTCACAATTTGTTTAAATGGAGTAGAAAGATTTTACTAAGAGAGATGGCCAAAGGAAACTTTCGTATAGGACGATGTATGTAATACGTAAGATTGAGCTCAAAACATATTAGAAAACGAATAAATCACATTCCAGGTATAATCATAACACAAACCAGATAAAAGAGCCATTTACAGATGTTTCCAAACATACAACCAGTCACAGAGATCTTCTGTAATGATATGTAACTCTTTTATCATCAGATACATCAGTTTCAGAATTACAATAAAGGCTGTAGCTTTCATACATTGGTTACCTTTCTGCATCTGATGGTTTTTCTTATGTTTTAGCAACTTGACCATAACGTTTGGAAGATATATTCAATGTTATGCTGTGTTATTTGAGCCTTAAATTATAGAAAACTTACCTCTACATCACTATCCATAACCTAAACAAAATGTTTAGATGTATATATGATTTCTAATAGCCAATTCCTAGTTTCTCATCAAGCATCCTGTTTCCCCCTTTCAATCACAGTCATGAGATTCAATTTCACCATTTAGTGCCGATGACATGTGTGGCCTTGGGAAGAGGCTAAGCACATCATCATATTTGTGGGACAGGCCATAGCCATGCACATGGCTTTGGAACGGCAGAGGCAGCCCATAGCTGCCAAAAGCAGTGTATCCTAATATCCCAAGCAAGGAATAAACCTGTATGTCACTCATTAGGCAATAAATGCAGCACTACCCACTCAACGAAGACTTCTCTTTGCATAAGCCATGTTCTAAGATGAAGGGAAGAAAATGGGATGTCTGTGCTAACAGTTGGAAGGCTTCCTATGGTGAAGGATGGTGTGTGCTGCCTCTCTCCCCATTCAGCTATGAGACAGCCTTCCTATGTCAGAAATATTACTTACCAAAATGAGCTAAAAATTATTTCTGAAAGTCAACTTATTGATGATATCACTGTCATTTATGAAGAAAAATATCACAATTACTAAATGAAAACTGAGCTGATAAAATTTCTTGCCTAGATATTCATGAAACATTTTGAATGATAGAAAAGTAATACTTCAGTCATTTTGAGACGTATATTATAGCTCCAATTCTTTAAAAAGAACATGGGTGGCACACTATCAGATACCTTGTGGGAGGGGCAGACAAGCCAGTGGCTCAGTTTCTTTTTATGGCTGTGACTTGACCTAATTCACTGAGATTCTTGACTGGCTAGAATCTATAAATTCTAAGGTAAGGCCTGCATGTTGGCACTGAATGCCTTGGCATCCATAGCAGCAGCAGCCTTGCACAGTTGCATCTTTGCTTATTACACAGAAGAAAACAAGCACAATGTCATAAGTCAAGTCTAATGAATGGAGATCCGCACACCTCTTGTCTGACTAGCAAGCAAGATACCTCCTGATGTTTGCATGCTTTGACATCCTTATACTTTCCAAATACAGAATTCACATATTTTTCTTTCATACTTTCATTGGCAACATCATGTCTGTATGTATCTTACAATTGCTCTTTAATAAATGAGGAAGAATAAACTGCTTACGACAAATATATTATCACTCATTATCTCCAACCTGATTTTCAGTTGGCTTCATCCCTTCACTACACAGACTTTCATGCTTCTAGTAGGACACATCAGCAGGTCACTCAGGTGACATCCTACTGACATGTAACTTCAAGTTAATATGCCTTAGGTATAGAAAATAAATTAGCAGAGAGTCAATATTTGCCTACAAATATTCATTTCTTAGTGGGTTATAAAAATAAAGACTTCCTTCACCTGAAATCCTTCAAATGCATCTTCAGGATTTTCCCTGATGATCAGCAAAGGCACTAAGTCTGGACACTGAAGTCTCCCTATTTAGTGAGACAGAGACAGACTGCAGGCTCTGTCACATGACTCTAGGGAGCAAGGCTACTTATGAAGCAGGTACAGCAGCAAACTCAACACTGGAGAGATATGTAGGACCAGGGCACGCCATGCATATGTACAGTTTTGGATCCATATTTTAACTACAAAAACTACAAAGTTACTTTCTATAGAAGAGAAAATAAAGGTAGGGAAAATGGAATAGAATGAAAAGCCAGGTTATTTTGTAAGTTTGAAAATAAAAATATTACCAATATTTTTGTATAATTAGTGTATTTAGTTTTAGGATTGCATTAAAGGGCACTAATGATACAGTCTGACTCTTCATATCTGTAAAGAGGAGACATTCAGATGAAATCCACTGACGGAAGATGCTGGAGTTGGTAGCAGGATTCTCCTCCAGGTATGATATGCTTCATGACACCGTCCACTAAAAAAAGTGAAAATATATAGGCATCAGTACATTTTCATTTAAATTATATGATAGTCTAGTAAAAAAAAAAAACCAGAAAAATATGGGATAAAGGAATGCCAAAAGGATTTTTTGCAAATAGCTATGAATGATACAATTTTAATATTACAAACAAGAATCTGAAGTAAGATAGGAGCTTAAAAATACAGATAAGACATGTTTTGGAGTATATGATAAAAGGGTTGCCTTGGGTGGACTCTGTTCTCTTGGATGGACATCACTGCCTGAGGCTTCCTCAATGTGCTGGAGATGTTACATCTTCTAATGGGGTTGGGGACTGGCCACAAGAGCCAGTATCTTGTTACTGGATTTCTTCCAATTTTGGAACTACATTAGTCATGTTGTCCCCAAGAAATAGGGCCCAGAGTGTTCTCCTTTCCAATGGGACTCCTCGGTACATTCTATTGGACCTAAAAATTTGTCCTGACCCAGAAGCCATTCCCAAGTTTCTGTTGTCCCCTAAAGCTTGCCCATAAGTAATAAAGCCCATGGCATATACCTACTGCATGCATATGTGAGTGGCTGTTCACCAGACTCAGACGCTGGCACACACCACACCTCCTTCATTAGCTACATCCCAAACACTCAACACAGTGAGGGGAAAAACAGCATCAATAAAGCCAAAAAAAGCAAAAACAAAACACAAAAGGGGAATCCTTTCTTCTTGAGCTGGACCCAATACAGAGTAGTTATTAAATAATTTGTGTTAAGATCTTCCCCTTTCTTGAGTAAGAAAATACTCTATTTGTTGTTGTTTTTAACAAAGTTTATGAAATCTGTGATAATAAGTTTTAGAAAATCCTCCAAATAAAGACAATAAATATTCGGTTGCTAAGTACTATTTTCAAACTGTATCCAAGAAACATTTAGTGCTAAATATTTTTAATCAGTATACCTTTCCAGAATTAAGGATAGGAGTTAACTTACCATCCTGTATTACAGGATGTATTTGAAGTCTAAATACTGTGTGTCTTTAGTCTCCAAAAAAGAAGCGCAGGGCTGCGAAGAGAGCTCTGTGGTACAGAGCATAGAGGGCTCTCTTAGAGGGCCTGAGTTCAATCCTCAGCACCCACACTGCGTGGTTCACCACCTCCTGTAACTCTGGCTCTAGGAGATCTGGAGGCTCTCTGGCCTCTGAGGGTATCTGCAGTCACCTGACATACCCTACCCTGCATGCACACAGTAAATTGAAAATAATAAAAATGAACATTTAATTGTGGCACACATTTGGGTATATTCTGTATTGTTTAGGATTTTTAAACAGTTCTCTATTTAAAAGTTTCTTTGAAGACTAGTGTTAATATGACATTGGAAATTCTCAATCTGGCTTTACATGGAAACTGTGCTGGGAAGATAACCATCTCCATGTTCTACCCCAGCCTCAGGGAAACTTCATATTCACAGGCACAGCCCTGGCTGAGACTTCAACACTGCACTTTAGCCACTGCTCCTATATTAGCATGCCCTCTGGTGGGCTGTGAACCCTGGCGTCGGCCTAGCACTGACCCTTTCTGTAAGACTCAGAGCACCATCCATGCCACCTCTGTGGACAGGCAGATGATGGATATATGACAATGGGGAGGAAACAGTTTCCTCTTCATAAGACTCTTCCTGGCCTATTGGGTCCTCCAGGCCATGCACAGAACAAGGAGGCACTGGAGGAACAAGCCACTGTCTATGTTGTGCTTGTGCTCCTGTTATTCCTGAGGTACTAACATATTCACTTTAAATTTCTCCTTTTAAGCTCTAGTCAGGTGGCTACAGAGGATGAGTACACACTCCCTGAAGCTGCTGATTAGAGGTGGCCAGGACTACCACCCAACAGGGCAGCATCAGAACACTGGGTGATGGCTCACTCCTTTTGAGAAAAATTTACAGCTACTTTGCGGCTTGATGCTCACGGCAGTTTACTAAGGAAATCAGATTTTGTAAGAGAAACACCACGAAAAGAGAAAGGATAACCATGGAAATGGCTTTGGTACTGAGCTCCTTCAAGAAGCCTGAAGGAATAAGAGACGAGGCCTAGAAGTAACAGGAGGCCTAATATCTTTGCAATCTACAAGCTTCAGAATGAAGAAGCTTCAGATTTAAGGAGAAAGTCTTGCAGAGCCAATAGTAGACTTGCTAGGCTATCACATGTGAAACAAATGTTTTCTTACTTCTGACTCATGCACGACAGCTACGGCACCTAAACTTAGTACCTAGCACTCCCGATGAACTTAACTCAGCACCTCTGTTCCTACCAGGAAACTTTGGAGCTCAACATTACTTCTAGTAGTAAGGTTTGCTTTTTATTCTTTCTTGTTTTTTGAGAACGCTATTTGAATTTAACCTAGTGGCACCTTTCTATTTTAGTAGGAAAAAGAAAGGATATGTTTCTTATAACAACTTGATCTTATTTTCGAATAAAATTATACTAGAGCTACTACTGTCTTCTTTTTGAGTCTTGGAAATGACATCCATAAAAATGGCCACAGACTGAACCCAATCATTTTATGAGTTATTAAAACGCCAATGTAAAGAAAAGCAGTTTTCTTTTCATTTAATTCATTAACTGAAACAGGTTGCAGTAAATGAGAGTGCTAAGCCGCACAGATGGTGGCCATCACGAGGAGCCGTTCCTGGCTTAGATAAGCTCGGCTCAGGGTGGTCCTAAGCTTCGAGCTACAGTTCTGGCTCACATATATGACCCACGTAGACAGATGTGCCTCAAGTATGTGCGTGTGTGATTCTGAGACAAAAGCAAATCAAATTACAGAGTAATTAACCAAAAAGCTGAGCGCAATTAAGGGCGCTATGCTTTTCACAATTATCCTGATGCTAAAAATGGGGTTCCTGTGAAGTGATTTGTAAAATCACAATAACTGAACAGTTATTTTCCTGGTCAGCAACATGTACAATAAAATGTTTCCACTCCTGCTACACTACAGCCTCCAATTCAAAGACCTCCCAGGTTAGCCTGTCCACCAAAGGCACACCCAGGGTCTATTCGGACAGACAGACAGTGGGAGGAATACGCACCACTCACTCGCACAAACCGTCGTCTACATTCACAATTGCGTGATTAAGATAACAGAAAGATTACAAGTACCTAGAGCCTGGATGGACTCACTGTAAGGGGCAGGCAGGGTGATCAGAGGTTCAAGGCCACCCTTGGCTACTGAGTGAGTTTGAAGCCAGCATGGGCTACAGAAGGCCATATCTCAAAAACAAAACAAAATAAAAACAAAACCAAATATGCTACACACACCCAAATGTCTCAAACTCTAGTGAGAACATTAAAGCTACACAGCATGAGTTTTAGAAGAACCCAACTTCATGATTTATGTGCAAGCAGACATTTGACACATGTCAAAATGACAGTTTGGTAGAGTTTTACATTCTAGGTGGTGTCCTATATTGGTTGTTTCTGACGATTAGAATTCCACTTAAAACTATTAAGATACTGTGCTTAGAAAGAAAATCTATGATTTTTTTTAAAAGAAAGCAAATCTATTTCCATAATATTAAAATAAGTAGACACTTCCTCCAGCCTCTGCTCTCTCTGTTGCCACACACAATCTTTCTCAGGGCATCCCCAGGGGAATGACTGGCTTGGTTACTTACTCTAAGTCCCCCTGCTGTTGGTGGCCCCGATGTTTCCATCTGCTTTTCTAACTGTTCTTTCTTCTTCTTCTTTGCCTCCACTGACTGGATGTCCAAAATCCCCCGAGATGCCGCCTTTAAAAAATTCAACAAGCAGGGATTAGAGGAAAAAGCAAAAGTATCTGCTATCCAGAGGCACTTGTTTTGCCTTTCTACTTTTCCTTTAGGGGTGGGGAGTTGGTCTGGTTTGGGTAACAGGGCAGTTTGCTATGACAACCTTGCAGAGAACACAGCCATTGCTTCAGGGAGAACCACAGGGAATTCTTTCTGAAACTAGTCCGCCCATTCTCCTCAGCAGAGCAGGACTCTCCTCAGGAAGAATGCCCTGGCAGGACAGGCCCAAATGTGAATCCATCACAGAAAACAAGGTAAATGCATACAGTTTGTGAGTACTCGGACATCATTCCCAGAGCGGTTATCTTTGAGTACAGAACCGTGTTCGTCATCAGGCACTCTGCGTTTAGATCGTGGGGACATGACAGACACCTGCAGAAAGTGAACTGAACACTTATGGAGCAGACAAACAACTGGGCTCTCACCTCCTTCTGCCTTCGTTCTGCTGCCTCTGCGAGCTTTGCTCTTTTCTCTTCCTAAGAAAATAAATGACACGTGTCTCAAGGATAAAGTCAAACAGCATAGACCCCTTCCACACCTTTACTTTAGAGGGCAACAAAAATAAATCATAATTACAAGTTGAAACAATTTGTAAAAATGTAGTATGGGTGCAAAAGGCCTCACAAAGCAAGTCACTGTAGGAGGACACTAAGATGGCAGTTATGTGAGAGATGGTGCATAGGACTGCTGGAGTCCACAGGGCTAGCCTGAGCAATGTGGTAAGAGCGTACCTTCACCCAAAAAAAAGATAAAACAAACCAGCCCTGAATTCTATCAATATTCCAATATTTATTAAATATTTGACTTTCTGAATGTCATTCTCTAGACCAGCAAGCCAAATTAGCACATGTGACAAAAATTGGCTTACAGAATACTTACTTCTTATAAAAATGGACTTACAGTGGGGCTACTTTTTAAAATGGTGTTTAAACTATAAGGATAGAAACATAGGATGAAAGTTAGTTAAAAAGGAGAATGAGGAAGGCTGAACGTTGGGGAAGACATTTAGAACCAATGGGCCAATCTCCCTGTATATGACGGGGAAGAAAAAGAAAAGAAACTCAGGCACTTGTCCCACCTCTGGGACACGTGTTATTTTCCTATGCCCTTCTCTTCTTATTTATAAACTCTTTAAATACATTGAGACAATGAAGTGCATTCTCTTGGGGTCTTCATTTTTCATCAACTACACACATTCATCCATCACCATGACTGCTACTAACTTTTCTAGGCACTGAGAACACAGCAACAAAATGCAGACACCCATGCATACAAAGCTTGCTTGAGCTTTGATTAGTGCATGGAAACAAATGTAAGCAAATACACAAACGTACATCTGATGGGAGTGACTACTCAGGAAGAGATATAATAGTCATGATGGGGACAGAATAGGATGGAGGTTGCTGGACAGAGAGCATGTTTATTTAGGTGGTCAGGGACATCTTAGGTACTAAGTGAAATATACCAGTGGGCCCTATGGCTAAGGGCAGAGACTGGGAGGAGAGATATCTTAACAAATGCTGGCAGAATGATATTTTTTTTCTCATGAGGTAAGCAAAATTAACAGCATTTTAAAACAACAGCAGCCATAAAGGCAAGTTGAACTTGCCCACATCAACTAAACAGTCACTTAGTATCTATGACCTAGTGGCTAAGGAATTAATGTACTTCCACAAATTCCACATTTCTTTAATAATCTTTAGCTACCTCAAGAATCGATGTTGAGAACAAGTTAGATTGTTATGTTATCAAGTACGGGTAAAGGATATTAAAATAAATATACTGTTATAGCACAAGGCCTGCTTAGATTCGAATATCAAAAATAAATAAATAAATAAAAAGATTGTCTTCACACAAAAGTATCACAAATACAGCACTACGGGGAATCTACACCCAGACGTATTGTTCGTTTATGTGGCATTCAAACCAGCTGTTAAAAACTGAGTAAAGGGAAGACGCAGGTTAATTAAATAGCCACTAAAAGGCAAGGGGAGCGGCGCGTCCCGGACCTTCCAGGTACAGCTGGTACAGACAGGAGAAGAGACACATGTCCGGAGCAGCCACTGAGAACTGAACAGCCCTAGCCTATCCAAGGAGGGTCCGCAGGACAGCCTAGGAAAGGGACAGGAGGCCCGGCAGGTGCACCTTCCCTCCGACTGCACTGCAACGGCCGCCACGAGCAAAACTTGCACGGGGAGGCCGGCTACTCACCGGGCTCGGGGATGGCGGTGCGGACTCCGCGGGACACGGGAAGCACAGCCCCATGGGGACGCAGGCACCCTGGGCCGGGAACCCGAATCCTCGCTGGGGGCTGCAGCAGGCCCCGCCCAGCAGCAAGCCCCGCCCCCACCCGACCTGCTGCAAAGCTCTGTCCCGCGCCAAGACCTGCCCCTCAGTCAGACCCGCCCCACCTGAGGGGCAAGCCCCGCCCTACCGCGAGCGCCACCACAAGCTCCGCCCCTGTCCTGCCTGAGGCCGACCCCGCCCTACCCGCCCTAGCAACAAGCCCCGCCCCTCCAGGCCTACGGCAAGCCCCGCCCCAGTGAGAACCTGCTACGCCCGACCCGGCGGCAATCCCCTATCATCCGGTCCAACATCAAGTCCCGCCTCCTCCACAAATTCCACCCAATAGGGCTTAACAGCAAACCATCCCAGGGGTTTCTCTCGGGAGCCTTGAAGCCTTCCTGTGGCAGCGCCCCACCCATCTGCGGCAAGCCCCGCCCCTTCAGTAGTGCTCCACCTGAACCATGTGGCTGTCAGACAGCTCCCTAAATGAAACGCCCGCTCCTATCCCGGTTCACACACAACCCCACCCTCCCACTCCCATCAAGACTCCTGAAATTCCACCCTTCCTTCCAAGTCCGGCGGATTGAGCACCTTCTGCTGCTGCGGAGCCCTGGCCACCAGGAGCTCTGCGCAAGCGTACTGGGCATGGGTAGGCACCTGCTGAATCCGCGCTAGGGAAAGTAGTAACCCTGGACTCTGAAACCTGCGGTTCAAGGGTGACATCTGCTACCTTGTTGGCATCTTAGTGAGGTCAGTACTGGATCGCTGAGATGGCAGGGCGAGAAAACCACTACATAATCCAAGTTTCCCACCCCAGGGACAACGAAAAAGTACACCCAGAAACACTTCAGTGAAGTGCAGCTCAGATTTTATGACTGTAAGATTCCCCTGAATGTGATAAAAATTAGATTTAGAGACGCTAGGGCCAAGCCTATCATTCCTGTTCAGCGCGTGTTTTGCCAAATCAAGGCTTCGTGGTTATTTTGACAGTCTTTATTTCCCAAATGCAGCTGTTTGCCCTCAAAACAAAAACAAACAAAAATCAAAACAAAAACCCCAGCACGTTTATTGTTTCTTTTAGATAGGACAATCAACAGGTATGTAACAGTTTCTGTCTACCAGACTTGTACAATGGTGGCATTTTCTTTTCTAGTTTTTTTCTTTCCTTCTTTTTTCCTTCTGTTTCTATTTCTCTTGTCCGTGGATTACCACTCACATATGTTTCATTCAAGTGAACGGATGCTTCCATTTCCTTTTAGTAATCACACAGAATCTATTATTTGAAGTTGCTGCACTTCAAAATAGTACAAATATATTTCAAATTTCTGTAATTCTATTTCTTATAAACATATAAAAATTTCCCCTACTTTACCCACTCAGAATTTTGAGGGTTTTTTTTTCATTTTCAAGATATTTCACATTTTGTTAGTTTCATGTTTTGATAAGTACAAAGCACAGTTAACAGAAATTCATTTCAGGTGTAAGATTACTGATTGCCTTTTTTTCCTTCAACTTGACCAAACTCTAATTTCTTTCTAATTGTCTCTGACCTCCCTATTATTAAAGAATTTACATCAGAAATCTTTCAATTTTAAACATTCCTCTCCCTTTTAAGATGTTTTTCTCCTGGCCTAATCTTAGCACCTCTGGGCAGAAGAGCCTCTGCTGTGCAAGAAAATGGCTGAATTTCATCCAGGAAGCAAGCTAGTAAACAGTGCTCCTCCTTGGCTTCTCTTTCAAGCCTTGGCTTCCCTGGATGATAAACTGTAAGCTGTAACACGTTGTAAACTGTTTCCCATGTTGGTTTTAGTTGCTGTTTTATTATAGCAATAGAAAGCAAAATAACGTAGTAACTTCAAGATGTATAATCACTCCTGCCTTTAAGTGCAATGCACTTGAGTTCTGTCTCCACCTTAAAGTAAATAATTCCTTGTTTGTTTAATTCTATTACATTGTTTTTTATATCAGTTTGGCAATTGATTTATTTTAACTAAAAATGCATTACATATTTCCAATTTTCTGAGGAACCACCAAATTGATTTCTAGAGTGGTTGCACCAGTTTGCAATCCCACCAGCAATAGAGGCGTGTTCCTCTTTCTCCACAAACTCTCCTGCATGTACTGTCCCGTGAGTTTTTGATCTTAGCCACTCTGATTGGTATAAGGTGGAATCTCAGGGTCACTTTAATTTTCATTTCCCTGATGACTAAAGACTTTGAACATTTAAGGGTTTCTTGGACATTCGAGATTCTTCTGTTGTGATTTCTCTCCTTAGCTCTGTACCCCATATTTAATTGGGTTATTTGGGTTTCTGAAAGTTAACTTCTTGAATTTTCTATATATTTTGGATATTTGCCCTCTATCAAGTATAGGGTTAGAAGATTGTTTTCCCGATCTGTAGGTTGTCGATTTTCCTGTTGACGATGTCATTTCCCTTACAGCTTTTCAGTTTCATGAGGTCTTATTTATTAATTGTTGTTGATCTTAGAGCCTGAGCCATTGGTGTTCTGTTCAGGAAATTTCCCCCTGTATCAGTGAGTTTGAGGCTGTTTCCCACTTTCTCTTCTATTAGATGTGGTGTATCTGGTTTTCTAATGAGGTCCTTGATCTTCTTGGACTTGAGTTTTGTGCAAGGTGATAAATATGGATTTATTTTCATTCTTCTACATATAGACTGCCAGTTAGACCAGCACTATTGATTGAAGGTGCTTTCTTTTTTCCACTGTATGTTTTTGGTTTCTTTGTCAAAGATTTAAGTGTCCATAGGTGTGGGTTTATTTCTGGGTCTTTGATTCTATTCCATTGATTGACTTGTCTGTCCCTGTACCAGTATCATGCCTTCCTTATTACTATTGCTTTGTAGTACAGCTTGTAGTCAGGGATGGTTACAAATGCAAATACTAACACCCAACCATTGGACCGAAGTCAGGGATCCCATAGTTGAATTAGGGGAAGGATTGAAGAAGTTGAAGGGGAGAGTGACCCCATAGGAAGACCAGCAGTCTCAACTAACCCGGACTCCAGGGAACTCACAGAGACTGAGCCACCCACCAGGGAGCATACATAGGCTGGTCCTGAGCCCCTCCCCTGATTCCCAGCGCATTATCTGATCTGGTCTCAGTAGGAAAAGATGCACCTGATCCTTGAGAAACTTGAGGTCCCAGGAAAGGGGGAGGGCTGGAGAGGGAGCACCCTCTTGGAGGTAAGGGGGAAGAGGAATGGGATGAAGAACTGTGGGAGGAGGGACTAGGAGGGTGGGCAACAGCTAGAATGTAAATAAAGAAAATAATTTTTAAAACTGTGTTACATAAAAATGGAGAAAATGCTGTTTGCAAAGTATTTCTATTATCAACCTTTTCATTCCCTTGAGATGAAAGCTGTTCACAGGAGTATTCCATGATAGTTTTGTGGTAGAATACTTGGCGAAGCTTTCTGTGAATCAGATATGCTTAGTATCTAGGAAAATACTGATGTTCCAGAGGAGAAGCTGGTTAGGTCTTCTAGCAGCCTGTTAGGTAACATAGGGCTTTCCCTAGTTGTGACGCAAGCCCATTGTGTACCCAGTATCCTCTTTGACACAACTGCTTCATTCTCTGTGTTGGTTAATTTTGTCAACTGGACATGAGCTAGAGACATCTTAGAAGAGGTAACTGCAATTGAGAAAATGCTTACATCAGATTGCTCTTAGGCAAGTCTGTAGGGTATTCTTTTGACTGATGATTGATATGAGAGAGCCTAGCCCACTGTGTGTGCTGCTACCTTTAGATACATGGTCCCGAGTGTTTACAAAAGCAGACTGAGCAAGCCAAGAGGAGCAAGTCAGTAAGCAGCACCCCTCCATGGCCTCTGTTTCAGTTCAGATTCCCAGTTTCCTGAATTGTGTTCCTGTTCTGACTTCCTTAGTCCTAGAGTGTAATTGAATGTTGTAAACTGAAATAAAAATTTCCTTCTCAAGTTGCTTTGGGTCATGTGTTTATCACAGCAATAGAAAATATTCTAAGACATTTCCCAACTTTGAGACTAGATAAAACTTGCATTTGATGTTGTTTGCTGTTCTTGGCTTAAGAAAGTCGGCTTTAGAAATGTGTTTTATTAATCTTTTCTGTAGGAGAAAACGGAGGCATCACCTGGCAGTCAGCCTACCTAGCACACTGAACTTCTAAATAAGAAGCATGGCACATTATTACCCTCTTGATATTCCCAAAAGTCAGAACAATGAATTTTGAAGAAGCATTGAGTAGCAGATAGTGGCCTGTTGACCAGTCTGCACTCTTCCTGGCTTCTTATTGTAGGTCCTTGCTGGAGGGTGTCCCATGATGATCTCTGGCCTGACTGGGGACAGGGTGTGAGCAGGGAGGGTCTGTCACTGCCTCCACCCGGGTCTCTGCTGTCCATTGGTCTCCCGCCTGACCTGGTGTGGAAAGTCAAAGGTCCGGGCCAAAAGGAGAGAGTGCTGCCTAGGCTGCTGCTCCCAGATGCTGCAGTCGTCTCTCTGCACCAAGCCAGTCCAGGCACGGGGAGGGGAGAATCCCATAGGCATTTTGGGAGAGGAGACCTTTTCCTAAGTGTTACAGCTCTAGTGTTATAGCTCTTGCTGAGCAGGTGAGGTGCAGGGTAGCTGGCAAAGAGGGGAGGGTCCACGACAGAAACTCTCGGACAACGGGATGATTCTCGCAATTTTTACTTCTCCCGAGTTAGCTCAATATATACAGTTTTGGGTGGGTTAAAGTCTGGTAGCAGATATCCCCTATTGGCTTGTTCTGAGAGCTTGGGGATGCCTCATCTACATGTGAGAGGGCCTGAGGCACTATTCCTATGCGATCAATGGCCATAGACCACTCTGTGGGAGGTGCTGTGAGGGGCTGAGACTGAGTGATAAGAGCCAGGCGCTAGGAGCGACACCGAATGCCTTCCATCATATGAAAGTCCGGGATTCGAAGCTTATGCTCGAACAGGGCCCAGCTGCCTCTAACAGCCCACTGCCCCACACCTTATTATGTGTTTCTTCTCTACAGAGAGGTATTAGCACTCCCTGTCTACGCTGAGGTACTGTGCTGAGCAATCACAGTCGATAGGCTTTCACTGTGTAAGCA